TCTGTTATGTTCTAGTTCCATACACAGCAGAACTAATGAGCTTGTCCAAGAATGGTATTTAAAAATGACCCCTATTCTGAGTATTAAGTAGCTCAGCTTCTTCAATGTTGGATTGACAATCACAGGCTGATAAAATTTTTACACAATTCCCTTAGTAGAGGCAAGTCCCACTTTTACTCTGTCCAAAGGGACTGCTTATTGAATAAGGATTGATTCTGTTTGAATAAAGTGATCTGGCTCTTTTGACAGTGTAAATAATAAGCAACTCCTGGTTTTAATCATATTTTAATCATATTGAGTAGCATCTCATGGCAAAATTATTCCAATTATTTAAATTCACACATGCAATGATCTATTTAATAGTATTCCAATTATTTTAACACATCCCAGTATTTAAATTCATTTTGAAAAACAAGACAAAAAAGCTAACCCACCACATAGATGATGCACTAATCACAACTTGGGATCAAAGAAATTAAATTCAATCAGTTTCTATCACCCTCGGTGTCACCACTTCTGCAGCAGATCTCAGGCTACCTGCGCAGTAATAATTTATATTAAGGATATTGTAAAACAGACTACAAGAAACAATTTCACTGTCTCTAGTGCTGGATCAAAAAGAGTCTTTTAAGGTAGAGGACAAATGTTATTAAAGTAGGGGCAGGTCTAAGATTCTTAATTTGACTAATTAAACTTATTTTGTATTTATAAAGGCATTTCTAGGAAATAGTGACTTTATGGCATGGCTGTTACTCAAATCAGCCCTGTTGTTAGGATTAAAATGCACATGAATGTGTTCTCTTTGTTCGGATGTTTTACCATTCAAGGAGAAAATTTGCTGCATAAGGAACAGCAGTTTTAACTATTGTCTTGTCATCATTGTCTTACTCTTTAGTGAGCTTCTGATGTCATGATGTCATGATTTTCAACTTTTGATGGCATATATTATTCCTATCTTGAGATTTCTTTTTTAACATTTTAATATGAAGATAGGTTTTAGTTAGAGAAGCACTTATTAGCTGGATCTAACTAAGGATATATTGTTTTCATAGCAATTGAATCTGGAAACCAAATTGTTTGACGTTTTCAGAAAAACTGATCAGTAGAGAATCCAGATTTTGGGGGTTTTGTTTATAAATTGAGATTTATTTTAAATGGGGGGTTTCAGATCTGAATTTGAGTCTGGTTGTTGAACCTTACACAGCTCCACAAAAATATTTCATTTTTTCAGTGTAGGATTTTTTCTGAGTGTGGAAAAATAGAGATAACAGTAAGATGACTGAAACAGAAGTTGTCACATCCCATAGAAAGATTCTACTTCATGTTACTTCAACCATTATTTTTACACTCTGTATACAGCCAGGAGATGTGTCATACTTAACCACAGCTTTTTACTAGTTGCATTGCAAAAGCAATGTAGACCTGTCCCTTTTCTACATGATAATGAAGCTAGACAACAAAATTACTTAACCTTGTAACTGAACAAAAAGAATTTACCATAACTGTCAAACTATATTTATAAGTGAGCTATTGACTCAAACCCAGCACAATTCTAGAAAGTGAAGGTGGCAGCTACTGAAGATATTCAAGAGGGCATTACAGGAAATAGATTTTATTCATAGTATCAATGTATTAACTTTCAAATAGTTTTAGAAAGCCATTCAGTAAAATCCAGACTTGCTAATAACGTTATCCTGTTGAAAGTGAATGGAAGCTTTGCCAACTTAGTGTTTAAAGCTCTCACCAAGAATATTTATTTGAAAAAAATGTTTATATTTCCTTAATAGAAATAGAAGCTATTAATTCAAAATTCATTAAAAGTGCATTTTATGTTGCATTATTATTGTGTACTTTCTTAGTTCTAGCCCAAGCTTTTAAAAGTAAAATCAATTTCTTACCTCAACTCTATTCATCAGGAAAGAAAATAAATTCTGTCTTTTATGAAGCTGTCATGGTTCCTGAGAAATATTAGACCCTAGGGCCCACTACTCCATTTAAACCATTCTTCATGTTCTTATCATCTTTTTTTATGTTCCTTTTGCTTGTTTGATGACTTTACTCTTCCCCTTCTCATTTAGTGAATTTCAATATTATGTCCCTATTCTGTTGTTTTTAAAGACAATAGAAGACACTAAAAAGCAGAGATTTAGTATTTTTTTTAAAGGGAATATAGCTGTGTTTATCATATTGTCTACATTCTTAATTTTCCTCTTTTGTATTTTTTGTTTTCTTGTATATTCTCTGAAAGTTGTAGGGCATCTAGATGAACTGAAAAACAACCAAAGCTATGTAAGACTTGATTATTAAAAAATATTTACATTCCTAAAGATGCAGGTAAATACATACTGAGATTTTTAAAAGTATGTAGAGACACTTAATTTTGTTCTTTAACTAGACTTCACCTATCAGTCTTCATATTTTGAAATACCTACAATTATGCTGGTTTGGGTTCTGATGAATTAATGTTTAAATGCCTTTTTTTTTTTTTTTTTTTTTTTTAATTCACCCTTTTCCTGGCTCATTCTCTCAGGATTATGCTTATATCCAGGCATACTATGACTAGATCCTTCTTCTCTAAGATGTCTAGGTGCAGTTGGTGGTAATAACAGCAGGAGGAAGGGTACCAGAGTTGTGTTCCCAAGGGTATCTATGGGGAAACATATCCCAGTGTAGGCAGCTTCTCAGGATGCTCTGACTGATGAATTAACTAATCTAGTTCAGAACATGAGAGTTAATCAATCTGATGATCTCGAGCATGAGGTTTTGGGGTTTTTTTTTGCCAAACTTTTTTTCTTTAGGTTGAACAGTTCATGCCAACTGCAGATGGGATTTGTGTGTCACCTAACTCTAGTTATCTTAAAGTTAAGTGCCCATTTTCAGCTAATTGTCTAGACACTCTCTATCATCGATGAAGAAATAGAGGCACTCAGGAGTGTGATTCATCCCAACCTAAAATAGAGATCTAAACTGGGATGAATTGGAAGTAGCTGTCTTTCTCCACCAAATAGCAGGAGAACACTGACAAGTGGTTCGGCAAAAAGCAGTGAAAGATAGGTGAGATGGTCCCCCTCTGAGCTATTGATACATCTCTTATCCCTCTCTGTTGTTTCACTGATTTGGGAGATAAGTAACATTTTTCAGTATTTCACAAATAGGGCAAACGTTAAATCGATGTTAGCACCAAATCCATCAGGTTCAGGAGTACCTAAAGCAGAAAATAATGTATACAGTTCCACTGAACCCGAGCAGACAGCCTGTGCTTTATTCTGATTTGTCAAACGGTAGCATAAATGGCAAAAGCTGATGCATAAAGCATTGTGCATGTTGCAGGTTGGGATCAGCCTAGAAATCAGCATCCACCCACAGTGAAGACTCCGCTTGGTTACTCCTCTGTACAAACAACATCACAGTTACACTTCAGAGCTATCCTGTCACTTTCTCATTTCTTTTCTGAAAAGTAAATATTCTAGCTGAAGAACAAATGAAGCCCACAATGGGTGTATAATATATCTCAAAAATAACTTGAATGGAAAGCATTTCAAGCTGGCAGAAATATTAGACATCTTTAATACCATCTGAATGGTTTTCTCAATAAAATTCAGAATAAATATCCACTAGAACATTACTGGAGGTTGAAACTTTTCTCAACAGAGTAATCAGTAACACTTTTACAGCAGAAATTCTGTGCAATAGTTTTTATTCCCATGTATTATTTGTGAAACGGAGGGAATATGCTGTTTAACATTAAACTTAGCAGAAATGTTTATGTTTTGAGGCATACTTTATAACAGAAACAAATCAATCAAAGGCAATTATTAAGATTTCAGTTGCTTCTCCAGCACTAAGCTTCTGCTGAATGTTTTTCATAATTGGACAATAATGTTTTTCAGATGATAGTGAACTCTTCACTGAGAAAATGATAGACAAAACAACCATTGCTGTGATATAGGATGTCATGTCTATGAAAGTTTGCTTAACAATTTAAGGGAACAAGCATGTTTATTAAACCTCCACTGATACTGAGCTGAGGTGGGAGAAAATAACACTGTCAAATTTCCATTAAAGTCCACCGATCTCTAAATTAGTTTTCTTGGATTTTGGTAGCAATGTAAGTATGCCAGTGGGCAAATTTACTCTGTGTCTGTGATACATTTTGGTGCTTGACCTGATCATTGTTTTGGTTTTTTTTTTTTTTTTTTTTCCTTCTCTTTGTTACTTTATTTCAAGGAAAGGAATACCCAAGGACAGGTGTTTCTGCTAGCTTGTTAACTGAGTTTTATTTTATTAATAAGAACTTATGCTCATTATGCTTACATTTTGCTGATACTATCTTAAAGTAAGAACTGTAAATTCTTAAAATCCCATCCTCGATACGTATGGAAATCTGTGCTGCAAGACCATTTCTATTTGCTTAATGCACATTAAGGTGGAAAGAGACCAGTCAGTTAACTGCTATAATCATATGCACAATGCAGCCATCTTGTCTCATCTAGTTGTTCCTTCAATTGTGCAAAACAAGACACTGTAGGTGTTTCAAAACCAGAATATTCTTCTGTTTTACTTTCATTAGGACCTAAGTTCTGTTTGTTAGCATTCTGATTTTTGTTGGTCTTAAGATTATTTATTTCTTTTACCAGACTGTGACTATAAAGACATACACGTCATGGTTGTATTTTTCATCCTTTTAATAATAATAATAATAAAAATAAACCCTGTTGCAATTATTTTTCCATTTATTATTGTGATATATATATTTACTTTTTTACAAACAAATTTGACAAGCAGATTTCTGGAGTTGTTTATGGAGTTGAAACAATAGCCTACGCATGTCATTGTACATGCATAGTGAAATGATGAACATAAATCGCATACCCACAGACACACACAAATGGAAAACAAGGCACTGTTAAGACTGTACAAGTAATAAATGACAAAGAGGTTATTGATACATTAAAAACTGAGCTCTTAATGAAAATGGTATCAGTAGTCATTTTAACACTCTAAAGCTGTGCATTGTTTTGGGGTTCTCTGCTTAAAAGCCCAACTGTGTCCCTCTTTCCGTATGTATAGGACCCTACATTTGTAGGTGAATAAATTGCTCCGATGTTGTTGCTGGAACGAACTAAAAAGTCAGCCAAGCGTTGTGTCACACAGGTAGCAGTGTTGCATTTCCGTTTCTCCAGCTGGTGACTACTAGAGTAAAACAAAAAGGGCCAAGTTTAAGTCACATGGTGAGCAATCAAGCGTGCCACTTTCAATAGGCGTTTGAATTGTGCTAATGTGGGAGTTCTTTTAATATGTGCACAAATACAGGAACATTACAATCTTCCTACCACCTACTTTGTGCCTGAAAAAAATCTTGCGCTGTATGCTATTATCAGTTTTAATGATGGGAGTTATTTAAATGCAAAGACTTTAACAGTCATATGTCATTTTTATTGATATTCTGCATAGCAGTTTATGACATCTAGAAAACCTGTAATGATAGTATACTTGAGACAGTAAGTGAAAACAATGACTAAATGGTTAGCTTTAAGCTGAACTTCTAAATCTATTTAGAGCTCTTGCTGATATCGTGAGGATTACTAACATAATGACAATCACTAACGTTTATTTAGTTCCCTTGTTCCCACAGAGTCATATCCTGCTCTCACTGAAGTGAACAGTAATCTTCTAGTCCGCATCAAGTGGGTTGAACCCCGAGACTCCTTCTCCCAACTGCGTCATGTATTGTGAGAGGTGGCAGGCATTGCCAACTTCTGCTGACCTCAGTATTACTTAAGATTTTGCTCTGTCTAAGCAGAGATTTCTTCACTGCTGAAAAGCAGCCACATCATTGTTGAAACACCAGCAACTGGAAAGTGCTGTTGTGGTAGGAGATAATAATTTTCTGGATGAGACTTTTAAAGAGTGTCCATGGGAAAATCCATATCTAAGAAGAACACTTTATGGTCCAGGTACAACTTACATATGATGAGGTTTATTTCTTTCTTTTAATCACAATGCAATTGTTAGCTTGAGAGAGCTTGGGTTTTCAAACTTGTTTCTTAGACCATTGTGTTGTTCTTTCAGACAGGAATACTTGCTTGCTGAGATTGTTTATTGAGTTATTGTTAATTTTCTTGGGTTTCTTCATGTTGATGTAGCATGAGGTAGACAACAGTTTGCAGCAAAAAATTACCGTGAAGAGTGACAATTTCCCAGTTTCAGACTCTGAGCAACTACCAATGAGTACATTTTCCTGTTGATTGACTAAATGAGTTGTCTAAAATACAATCTATTCTTTTAGAATCATTTGTATTAATCTAAGAAGCAATTGTGAGAGAAATGTCAGTATTATATTGGTTCTTGATCAGCAAATAGGCAGCAATTTATAAGAAATTAATATTTCAAATATTTAATTTCATTTAAAGGAAATGGTCAGATAGGTCTTGATAAAGCTTCTCTTAGGTTTCCATGGGTATTTCTATTGATTTAAAAAGAGTAATAGCAAGCCCTTAACATATCAGGTTCGAACAGCAAGTGGTTCTCATGGAAATCCAGATTTGTTTGTGGAGACAGAATTCTCTTTTTGGTTAAAGGTACAAAATCAGGCCCTGACACTCAAAGTTTAAAACTCCAGTCCTTACAGGAAGGTACTAGGATTCTAGCTGATCTGTAGCCTTTAATTGAGTAAATGCTTCAATGCAACAGTTCACCCAGTAAGAGATTGTAAACCAAAGCCCCAGAAAAGTAGGTAAGGCATACCACACATATAAAGGTGATGCCTTGTGTTTGAGTATTACAATTTTTATTTTATTTTTTTTTAAAGTAATATCTGTAAAAATGTGGGAACTTAGTCTCCATTATCAAAATATTTCGTAAGATAACCAAATTGTTGTATAATAAGGACTTTTTTTATAAATTTTGAGAGAAAGGAACAAGCCACTATACAGACACGTGTATATATCCAAAACAGAATTGTAATTGAAAGAAATTAACTCAAAAGCCTGATGAACAGTTAGAATATTTCAGTGCTGCTTACCTTTTAGTACAAATTGCAAATAATTTTTTAAATGTTATTTTATTTATGTACCTGAAATTAGATTTATGGATTTATAAACATGAATGCCTTTCAGACTAGTTAAATTCTGTCAGAGCCAATTGCTTCTTTTCCTGCTTCCCACGATTAAATTGATATTTAACTCTGTAATGAATATTACTTACTCAAAGAAAATAGTTATGTTATAAAATAATTCCATTCTATTAAAGCATTAGTGTTATTAAGAAGGGTACATTTTCTTTTTTTTCCCTTCAGACTTGGAAATGTGACAAATTTAAATATGAAAGCCCTTTCAAAATACACCTTTCTTCTCCAAGTAATGTAGTATTTGTAGCCTTTCTCACTTATGAAAGCATTATAATTGTAAAGTGGTTAAATTATCTGCAACTTTTGTCTCTGGATTTCACTTTCTACTCTGAATTCTTTGATCTTTATCCTTACAGAATGGCTCTGTTTGCAAGAAGGGAAAAAACAGCAGACACAAAGTGTCTCAAGTAATAGAATATCACTGGCACAAAATTTGCTTTATAATTTAAACCTGACTGATATGCCTAGAAAAAACAAGGAAAATCAATACCTTTTTATCTTTGCTGCTGGTTGTTCTGGCATTTCCTCACTAAGTTCTGAGAGTGTATTCCGTGACATTACTGGCAACATCCATCCTTGTCTTCTGGAAGTAGCATCAGATGGATCATCAGCCACAGAGAGTAATCTTTAAACAATAAAATACCTTTTGAAATTGAATAGCTCTATTTTTGCTCATATGATCTGAGACATGAAAGCAAAAGCAATTCATGCAATAAACTGAACATGTTTTCCCCTAAAAATAAATAAATATGACTGTTTATTACTCACTTCTCAATAGGTGTAGCTTCCAAACAGCTCAGAGTGACAGAAAGTGCAATGAAGAAAACTGACAGCTTCAGGCTGCACATTTTGGCTTCCAAACTTTCTGAAAAGAATAATGATTCCAAACTGAAAGCAAACCCAAATATTCTTCAGTATATCCTATTACTGATGCCCATTCTGTCCTAAATAAACAGCAGCTAGTCTTTTTCCCAGGCTAGAGTAAAAAAAATAATCCCCCTAAGTTTAGTGACACAACACAGTTTCAGACAGATAGCTCTGAACAGTAAATGTTCATCTTCCATCTAGCAGTTTCAATCCCTTCCCATATCTCTGGTTTGCATTTCCTGACATGTCTCAATCTCAAATTCTGGTCCCAGGTATAATTTACCTTGAAGTTATTTTAGCCTTTTCCTGAAAAATGCTGTGATTAATAGTGAGAAATATTGTACTTTCCTGAAAACATGTCTCTTGCACGGCATCTTAAGTAAGAAAAAAAGGGAAATTGTTTACCTTTTAGTGGTGAGGGAGCTAACTGAAGAAGCACTCCTGTGTTAGCAAGAAAGGTACATGCAACAATTCCACGCTTGCATCTAGCTCTGGAGTATCCCTTTCCCCCCTTCCTTGCTGACAAGTAACACAGCTCTTATATACCCTTCACACCTTTCTCAGCTCTGACATCAGGCAGCACAGAGAGACTGTCATTAATTCCCATCCCTATAGATAGCAAATACCCCAGAGAGGAGCAGAGGCAGAGAGGTCATTATTATATTAGCACATCAGTAAATATTAACCTGGTATATGCAGGATGCCCTCGTGAAGATACTGTAATAGCATATTGCACATCAGAACTGTAGCCTCAATTTTACAGTTCTGAAAAGATGCTGAGGTAATATTCCCGGTGGGTATTCTCAAGGGCTAAATAAGGTAACAAAAGTTATAAAGAAAGCCAGAGTAAATGAAACACCAGATCACCAGTAACTGAAATATAAGAAAACAGAGATCTTAGAAAACATAGAATAGTTGAAGTGGAGGTTTGTTGTGGAAGTATATAATGGTCAAAACAGCAAAAATGTTTGATGGGGTAAAAGACGTATGAGGAATGAGAAAAGAGTGAAAATCATTTAAATTGGCAGATAGGGTGATCTTTCAGGGTAACAAGGTAGAAATAATGTGCATTTCTCAGTAATGTATAAATATGAATGAAAATTCAGTCATTACTAACGTAAAATCTTATGTTTTACTAACACTGATAGATTCTTTATGCCATGCATGAAAATTGTGTCAATTAATATTCTTAAGAAGGTAAAGACTAGCATTAAAAAGCTAGGAAATGCCAGAATAAAGGCTCTCCGTGCAAGTTTTTTTCTGTAACGTGCACAGATTATGGTTCAGCAAAAAATATGCAGCTTTTAATAGACTAAATCCAGTGTTAATAAATTACCTGACTGCAGATTTACAAAGTTACAGATTAGAACAATTTTCTCCTGATTGCAGTGTGAATTAGGCAAATTACTTTTTTTTTTTTTTCTTTTTTTCCTGTCTCGTTAGTCACCCTTAGGTGCCCCAATGCCTTTGGAAAACAGGTCTTTCAATCATTTATGGAGATTAAGATGCTGACACAAAAGCTCAGGCAAAGTTTTCTGTGATAAGAAGTTATCGTGTGTATCTTCCATATGCCCACAGAACATGAATTAATTCGTAACTGCTTCAATGAAGTCCTGAATGAAGTCAACAAATGCTTTAAGTATAAATGTATGTGAAGTGAATTCCATCAGGGGTGCTTTAACTCTTTTATGTGCTCAGTTCCTAATATTTAAGGTTGTCTCCCTCTCTTTCTCATCTTTACATTTTTCTTAGGCTATTCTTGACACCTGCAGGACAGCTGTTTCTCACTTTTAATGGCTGCTTTTCAGTTTCTGAGTTCCATATTTACTTAATAATATTAATAGCACACATTAAGACTTTTGGTAATGGATGTCTCCTTCCCATTTGTGAGAGTGACAAAAAGCCATGTTACCTGTTGCATGCACTTTACCAGATGCTGTTCTGCTGTGTAAGGTAAATGTCTCCAGTAAATTACATTGTTGCTCAGTTGCCAGGATCTATAAGACTGTGAATAACTCATGGTTTAGTTTTCCTGCTGTATCAAAACAGAAAAGGAAAAGCTTTAGGCATTAACCTGAAATGAGCTTATTTCATTTTTTTTTTAATAAACCAGAAATCATTAAATGGCAGCATTAATATCCATCAGTGTAAATATTGCCGGTAATGAAACAGAATGATGCATGTGTCACTGCTTGTAGCTGTTATATGAGTTGAGCACAATGTTTCACGAGATCTGACAAAATTGTTTCATTTTTATAACAATTTTATTAGCCTTTGATTCCTTTTAAATAAGTCTGAATCAAGCTTCAAAACAAAAGTAGAATGTAAAAAAAAGGTTTCATTTATAGTGTCAGTACCTCTGAAAAGGTTTAAGTGCCTTGTGTTCAAATGGCCAAATCTGAAATTAGAGGAGTAAATCAGGTGCCTAAACATAGTTTTCTGCTATCATTTTAGATGTCGTAGGATATCCAGGACTGACATTCATGAACCTGGCTAGTAGGACACTGTTGTAGCAACTACAGATTAGGTAGAACATCACAGGGTGTCTAAAATTACACTAGACACCTATGGTTAGGAACCTGAACTGTTACCTAAATTTTTACATTTGGATGCCAAAATCGGAAAAATTTGGCTATAATACTCTCTTCCTAGTATTTCTTGCTTGGTGTTATGTTGATGAATACTACAATGTTTGTAATTTGCTACTGGTAGCACTTAAGCTATGTGTATCTGCTTTGTTCAAATATTGTTTTATCAAATATGCTTTTGATAGCACAACTTTCTTTGTTACTCCTATTTGGTGTGGGCCATTTCAGCACTGATAAAAATTCAAAGAGCTCTTCTTGTTGATACCCAAACTGATGTTAAACCTGTAGAAGAAATGTGGAAGAAGCAGCAGGAGAGGTAACAGGAGGAAAGTTAATTATTTCTCCCCCAGTGGAAAAAACAGGTGATTCAGAAATGAAGGGTGGCCATCCATGGAATTGACTAGCAAATGGAAAGAAGTCATTGGATAGTTAACAAGATCTTAAATCCAGCTTTTATGATGCATTATGCTACTCAGGTCACATAATTGACAGAACAATGATGTATCCTCAAAGGGTTATTGCTAATGATTCCTCTGAGAATGTGCTCAGCAGAGTTTGTGCTGAATCAGTTCCTATAGCTAAGAATCTCCCAAGCAAGAGGAATAAATTGCATGTTTAGATCAGAAAAGTAAGAATTGACAGCACAGTGATTGATGAGTTCCTAGTGCCATTCCTACTTACAGTCTATAGCGTTCTAGTTGCATGGCTTCTACTGGCTTGTGTCCAACAATTTACCTTTGAATACAACAGAAGGTTTAAATTCTTGATATTATTTTCCCCTGTCTCTTCTTCAACCTGCTTCCAGAAGTATAAGCAAAACCAGAACTCTCCTTTGGTTATCAGTCTCACTCACAAGAGCTCTGCTATTCTTCCTTTCTGGTAATGTAAGCCACCCATTGCTTCCTGCAATGATAATTCTCTAAAGTCACTGTCTATAAGAATTAATATATAAAGAGGTATTCAGCTTTCAAATATATTACTGTAATGTATACATACCACTACTACAATAGTATATGGAGTCCTATAACATGTGGACTGGCGTACTTCAAAGCAGAACAATTAATTTTTCTAAAAGGAGGGCTATGGTGCTTATTTGAAGTACCTCCTTGCAGAGACAATGTATTGTAAATTCACATCCTGGCTCACTGCATGGGTCTCTCCTTACAGAATAGTCCAGAGTGACCATATTGCTACTGAATGTGCAGAATGAGGTCTCCCTGAATGCTCCTGTAAGGAAAAAGAGAGATTAAGGAATTAGGTATGTGTAGAAGTGCTGTTTCTGGTTTACTAAGTGTAACTGTGAGAACTCTCCACCCCTTCTTCCCCACCCCAGCATCTTATAAAAAGCATAGACATCTGCATAGACACAGTGAGACCAGGAACCACCCTCCATTCTCCCCAGACTTATTTCACTGGAGGTGAATTTCTAGCAGGTACAGAGCAAATGGAACCATTCACTGATAAGAGAAACTGCTGGTTTCCAAAATAAATCTGCATTGAATCATGTCAGCCCTTCCTACCCGATCCAGTGCTTAAGTTTTAACTAAGTTTTCTCTTCAACTTTCAATAATCAGAATTTTTCTTTCCCTCTGCAAACTGCAGCAAGAGAATGACAATCTGTCTTTGTCTTGAAACACTGTGAGTCTTTCAGATGATGCTGTCTTGACAGCTCTGCTATTAATAGTGGCATTTTCTCTGCTGTTTAAAAAGGAGAGTTGTGCTGAACTGAGAATCAGTCATGTTAATAATAATTTTTCACTAAGGGCAAATGCAGTGTACCAGCTTACGTAGGAGGATTTACGTTGACAATACCATGAAACATAGATTAGTTTATTTATGGTATGTCGGCACATGTGGCTGCAGAATAAGATAGCACTTCTTCAGAGACAACTGCAAGAGGGCTGCATTTACCATATGCTTGGATTACTTTATGTGTGAGTGCAAGGCTTGACCTTTTCATTCTGCTTGGAGATGAGGAAAGATTTTGATAAACACAGGTGATGTGAATCAGTACATGAAGTTGTCTCTCTGCTGTAAGAAGTCATTGAAAATGCATAGGAGTTCAGCATATATATCTGGAAAAATTTAGTGGATTTTTGCTCTGTTATGCTAATGTCTTTACACAAATATTGCTGTTTCCATCCATTTAGCAACCACTCTGCTTCTGTCTGAGATCATCCCTCATAACAGCAAACGGTATGGGAATGGTATGGGAAAGTCAGTATCTAAATGTGAGCTCTCACAAATACTCTAGGAGCTACAAGTGACGTGTTCTGGTTTTGTGTGGTTTTTTTTTTTTTTTTATTTTGGTAGCTACAGAGATGGCTCCTGTAAGTAACTACTGGAAGTTCCCCTGGCTCCAAGGTTTTGGTAGTGGAGGATGGGGAGGACATGACAACAGAGATGGCCCCTGTGAGAAGCTGCTGGGAGTTTCCCCAGCTCCAAGCCAGTCCTGCCCCTGGCCAAGGCCGAGTCCACCAGTGCCTCTGCGAATGACATATTGAAGAGGGGGCACAGTGCATGGAGCAGAAGTGCAGCCCCAGGTAGGGCAACTCAACCGGTCTGTCCAGCTGCTGCCTGCTGCCTGCCCAGCCTTGGCCGTGGCCCAGCCGACCCAGCACACCCCCGCCTGAGAGCTGGGAGTGGCTCAGGAGCCAGCGAAAGAGAAAGAACCCGCAGCTGAGAGAGGAGCGGGGTGTGAGAGAGACAATTATGCCAACACGAAGGTCAGTGAAGAGAAAGGAGAGGGAGGAGGTACCAGAGCAGAGATTCCCCTGCAGCCCATGGAGGACCCCATGCTGGAGGAGGAGGAGGCTGGGACTCCATGGAAGAGCCCCACGCCAGAGCAGTTAGTGGAGAACTGTGGCCCGTGGGAAGGACTCATGTTGCAGCAGTTTGTGAAGGACGTGAGAGGGACCCCACGCTGGAGCAGGGAAGACTGTGAGGAGCCCTCCCCTGAGGAGGAAGGAGTGACAGAGAAAACACTTGATGGACTGACCGCAACCCCCATTCCCTGCCCCCTGCACTGCTGGGGGATAGAAGGTAGAGAAATCAGGAGCAAAGCCTTTGAGCCCGTGAAGAAGGGAGAGGTGGGGGAGAGGTGCCTTTTTAAGATGTAGTTCTTTTCCT